CTACAAGATAAATAAATGTCGATAGAAAATTAATGAAAAATCTCGCAGGCTTGTCGGTCAAGATACTCTACAGCTAAAATCAATTATTGGTCCTGAAATACAGCATTCTAGTTGTGTACAATAATAATAATAAGGTATGCAATTTAAATTTATTTTCTGCCAATTTTCAGCTGCAACGCATGCAGCAGCATGATTCGAATGCTGCATAGCATACGTAATCAGTTCCTCGCTAACTTCTTGACTTAACTTTCAGAATGGGTATTTGAGATACCGATTTTGCCTTTTCGATTTTTAGAAGACGTAACGTCAAGAATTTTAGCAGCATTATAGGTAATTTCACTTTCGTTTAACGTTGCGAAGTGGACGCCAGAGTGATTGAGATGGGAAATACGATCATTTCATTCTCCCATCCAAAATACTATTAATTCACTAATTAAATATCAATTCATGCATTAAGTTATCCATACTGATGCCTAATAAGATAATTTTAGCAGAATTAGGGCAGAAATCATCTAATTTTCGAATGTTGACGACAGGATATAAATGTTGTACACCCGATGTTTTCAGCGTGCAGCTTTACCACTGAAGGTAATTAATTATACGTGATAGCGTCATAGAGCTTCCATGAATCAATACGACGAGTCAATAAAGCAATAAGTTTAACGCTACCTGATCCATCGCGTGCTAGAATTTCCTTGGGACAACGAGTCTTCTCCTACCCGACCACTCGTTAATTGAGCTCAAGATGCAGTTACACCTACTCCTACTCGGCCACTCATGCAGCTCAAGACGCAGTGAAACCTACTCCTACTCGGCCACTCATGGAGCTCAAGACGCAGTGAAACCTACTCCTACTCGGCCACTCATGCAGCTCAAGACGCAGTGAAACCTACTCCTACTCGGCCACTCATGAAGCTCAAGACGCAGTGAAACCTACTCCTACTCGGCCACTCATGGAGCTCAAGACGCAGTGAAACCTACTCCTACTCGGCCACTCATGCAGCTCAAGACGCAGTGAAACCTACTCCTACTCGGCCACTCATTGAGCTCAAGACGCAGTGAAACCTACTCCTACTCGGCCACTCATTGAGCTCAAGACGCAGTGAAACCTACTCCTACTCGGCCACTCATTGAGCTAGAGACGCAGTGAAACCTACTCCTACCCGGCCACTCATGGAGCGCAAGACGCAGTTACACTCAGAAAAACTGCAGGTATTATTATTTATTAAGACAAATATCGCAAAAGTATTTTCGATGTCGCATGATGAAAAAATAGTATTTGTGACTTGAAAATTTATTATTTATTTGTACTTCCAGACTGTCATTTAAGTTCAGAGTTTACAACGATAGAAATGAGGACCAGGATTCAACAAGTCATTGCTCGGTGGGCACACATAATATTCAGTATTTAGCTACTCAGCAAATTATTTATATATGTAGTAGTGCGTACAGCACAGTTGCTCAGTAATTAAAAACCAATGCAGGTTCATTACACCAAAAAGTCTAACGTTAAGCGTTTCCTCGGCACTGGGAACCCAAAGCAGCCCTATATATTTGCCTGTTTGTGAGTGTCAAAACGTAGCGATATTTTCAGCGAATGAACAATGAAGGATGGCGATATTTTCAGCGCTTTCATTTATGGCCTTACAAAATAAATTACATTTATTGACAGTAGGGCAGAGAACAAAGGAACAGATGAGAGGCCATGCAAAATTGGACTCCTGCAGGTCCTGAAAAACTAAAACTAGGTTAGTAAAATCCGAGGGAGATGAAAAGTAGGGCAACATGGGCAGCACCCCACTTTTGTAAACTAAATTTTTGAGGAAGTTTTAATTGATACGAGGTGGTTCTTTGTTTTGTTTAAAGGTACAACTAATGAGGAATGTATGATGTGAATTAGACGCTTATAGAGTTATTTAATTTTTAATGAAACACTATTTTGTAAAAAGTGTCAAAATGGGCCCATTGCCCCACCCCTGGGGCAATGGGCCAATGGGCCTGGGGCAAGGCGCCCACCCTTGGTCCCTTTCCCACAATTGCATATTTTTCGTTTAAAAATGATAAAACAACACATTACAGTTAAAAAAAGGAAAATGTAATAAAAAATATGACATTCATTCATTTATTAACAACTCAAAAAATGACGCGAAGAAAAATATTTCATTGAAATAAAAATATCTATCCTTGACTTGAAAAATATATCCTTGACTTGAAAAATTCGTCCTTGACATGAAAAAATGTATCCACTAGAAAAAATATATTTAGTTGACCAAACAAAACTTCTTTCCAGTTTCGTCCATAATCCCGATATTATGTGCAGAGAATTCGTACCTATAATCGTGATTTCAGCCAACACCATAAAAACTCATCAATTTTTGGTTCATTGGTGTTGACTGAAATCAACTTTTGGCAAGGCAAGAGTCAATAACTCGATAAGGGGTCATAAATACGCATAACTAGAAACTAAACCTGCTGCCTTGAGGCGGCAAATAAAAAATAAAGCAATATGAAGTGTAATTTGTAATTCAAAAGATAGTAATAATTTTGAAAAGGTCATTGAGACAAATCTAATGATGTATAACACAAGACTTCACCATGGGCGCTTTGCCCCGTAACACGCGTGGGCCCGTTGCCCCACTAGGTATCATTTCAATTTATATCGTGTCAACATTTTATTTTAAAAGCTGATAGTCTAAACTTGATCTCAAAATTATCCCTATAAATATTATTTTCAAAATATAATTCACAGTAATTTCAAAAGCTTCATCTACAGTAATCGAAAACAGTTTTATTTAGCAGCAAAAAATTTTATCTGGGCTAAAACAGACGCAAACCCTTAGCAATACGTAAATCCGTACACTTCATTCCAGTGAAACTGTCGACCGGCGGTAGAGAACACGGATCAATATCTGCCATACTTAGCGAGAAACCCGCTATGGGCCCATGACCCGCAGTGGGCTCGCTGCCCCATGTTACCCTAATCTTTTTAGTTCAGAACACGACCAACCTGGGGTAAAATTTACTGCAAGTCTTTAGGTAAAGTCTATCAAGAACACAAAATATCGAGCGTTTAAGCAATATATGAATATCTATATTGAGATTTGTTTATCAAAGGTGGGTAGATGTTAATTCAAATATAATGGCTACAGATACGACGATAGTGCGCGTCCCATAACTCTGATTCAGAACTGACAAATATGACGTTGAAAAAATTCCATGATACAAATTATTACATTTAAATTAGGTTTTTAAATAATATAATATTAAACGAAGTTGTAATCGAACCATATTACCGATATTCGTCCTCTATGCGAATTCTATAAATATGCGATAAAGAAAATCAAAGGAAATTTTAAATGAGAATTACCGAAAAATATTCCTTAAAATAAATGATATATTGATTACAAATGAACCAAATAGGAAAACTTTCACTGGAGATACAGAAAATTACATAATACATACAGAAAAATCTTGTAAAAATTACAGTAGAAGTTCAGGTCCCATGAGCAAAGTGATATCAATACAATGGCGCTGGTATCGATTTTGCTTTGGGTCAATCGCCACCGAAATCGCGAGGGATCAAATTAAGAGTCTCTAAAAGTAATGAAGAAAGGACTAAATGACCCGACTGCAATAATAAGATCTCGGGAGTGAGGCTAAAGAAGTGTAATTTGGGACCATGCGAGGTCACCAGCCCTGGTCACGAGGTCAACGCCTTACCCACGGCTGGCCGAGCCTTCCTTTCAACGTGGGGCTTCATTTTACTGTACAAAGAAATAACACCTCATTGCAGGAAAAATTCAATATACATGTGAAACGCCAATAGAAATAATTTAAAGTACACAATAACATTTAAAATGCTAATTTAGAACCCCAACTCCAAATATTTGTTGTTTAAGTAACATTTAGTCGGGACACGGACAACGATCAAATCAATGTCAGGTACGGCAGAGCTGCAGGGGGCTCATTCTGGAGTAAAATTTTTTTTCTAAATTACCATTTCTTTTTTAACAGAAAACAGAAACACCGATGTTCGGTAAACTGTAAAGCGATACGCTCAGCTATAAAAGTATTATAATTAGGTTTTTTATCAAGCTATTGTTGACGTACGTTAATCAGTGAAAAAAGAAGAGAGGAGAGACGGTTGATATTACCTCGCCCGTGCAGTGACTGAAAAAGAACACCGAGCCGCCCTGAACGAGACTCTCTCCTGGAGCCGCTCGATTAATGAAATTGACCGCCCGCTCGTGATGGACAAAGGCAGACCTCTTTATGGTCATGACGTCCCACACACTTTAGCGGAGCAGGAGAATGCAGAAAGTTTATCTACATCTCGTAGTCCACAACTTTTATTTTTGAGAGGATTAAGAAACTCCAAGGTGGAAGAAGTATAGAAAAATCATAAGAATCAGGAATGAATAAAAATTAAAGCTTTGAGTGCCCAACTAATGGTTGAACTATATAAGGTAGACCCACGAGAAGTTCCGAGTTTCAGTTCAGCTTTCTAGCTACGTCACGTAGATCGAGAAACGTAAACAAACCCGTCATTCCCATGACGAATTGGTTGACAGGTTTGAACGCATTTCGGTGATTGGTTAATGCCCGTGACGTCATTGAGATCAGTGACGTCATAGGCGAAAAACAAGCTCCATCCGCGAAAATGAGCTTCTCATGGGTCAACCTTATACTAGTTCAACCATGTGCCCAACTTACATTTTCAAGAAGATTATGAAACTCGAAGAGCGAAGGATAGAAGAATGAATAAACTTAGATCTTCCAGTGTCAACCGTTGGATCGTGTTTGTGACGACAACGTGAGACGTTGATTAAAGATTTATAATTTAATAGAATAATAATTAAATTTTATTTGCGATAAAATTAGTTCACGATGTCACGCTGATGAACACTGCATACGCAATCATACTCATTACCACAAATATGAAACGAACATAACACCAACAAAGATATAATTATAGTGTGAAGTTTCGAAGAAAAGCTCACCTGATAAGAAGGAAGGGTGGCGAGAGACAGGATAGGCGATGCTAGGTCGTCCGGTGGCGGCAGTGGCGACAATGGCCTCGAAGTCGCTTCTCTTCCGCCTTGACAAAGGGGAGAAATGCTGGGTTTGTCGTCCAGCTGCAGGCCGTGAATATGGATCAGTCGATAATGTCGATACGGGCCAGACTGCCAGAGTTAACGGTGATGTTTGTTGTAGAGCTGATGGTGTTTGTCTGAATGACAAGGAGGTGTGTGCGCTCATCCCAGGTGGTTGAGGCTGAGGAAATGACATAGGGCGAAATGTGCTCAACAAAGCTGGTTGCACCGGGGAAAATGCTGGCTGAGATGTTCGTAAGCGCGGTGAATGAAATAGTGACGGAATTTGGAATTTTCTTTGGAGAGTTACAGGAGTTGTATGGCTCGAGTGAGAGACGTGGAAAGAGGAATTTGAGTGCTCAAGGTTTTCAAACGAAATTTTTTGAACCTGTGTTGCAGTGGCTTTCAAATTGTCGGCTGGTGTTGTTTGAACCGCATAACTTTTATTTAGAGATGCAGAATGAATTTTTCCGTTTTCATCAGGTTGAGGCAAGTTAATTGAGAATCTCTCAATAGGAAAAGATAGGGGTAAAAATTTCGCATTTCTCACGTCCAACTTGTTCCTGGCAGTGAGATCGACGGCAACGTTATCTTTACTTTTAGACGATGCATCCTCTGTCATTAGTTCCGTGTTATACGGAGTCGCCGTGACATTTTTCATAGCAAGGAAGTAGATTACGAACTGCTTATGCAAAACAAGCTTTAATTCATTGTCAGCAAAATGCATATCCTGTTCACTGCGAATACCAAGTGAGCCAATTGCACGCTCAAGAGCATCATGAAACTGTTCACACATATTATTAGAAGCGTCGCTTGAGAGCAGTCGCGTGAGCGGCAGCAGCTCCAGTAAAACTTCATGTTTGTTCAAGGACCGCCGATCAATTTTCATCCTTTGCGGCCGCTGTTTTCCTTCCTGTCGTCGTAAATGACAAAAGATATTTCCACTTGACGGAAAACAGCGTTGCGGTAAAGGGATTCTAAAATAGCAACTGCTGGTCTTATTTCGCAACCAGCCGAAGTTTCGAGTGTTGATGGAAAAACAGCCAGATACTGCCGACATTCTTAGGAAAGTGGCTCCATTATACTGAAATTCTCGACAATTTTTCGTTAACAAAATCTTAACCTTTTCTTCATCGACAACAAAGGTCTGTTGTATCGCGTTATTGGGAAGTGCGAGGATCATTTTTACCTCAACGGAATTCGAAATATTAGGCGGGAAAAAGCTTGTATTGAAGAACTGAGGGATTATAATTTTTGCCTCGGCATCAGCGCAAAAACCCTTATATATACTCGTCCTTTTGATTGGTAATTGGGACGCATTTGGAGACCTAAAAATATCACTACCGAGCTTAAATAAATCTGTTATCACAAGCCCAATTTTGGTCACATCGTAGAACAAACTTGCGGTTAATTGAACAAAAGAGCTAAATTCTGAGCTCTTGCGCAGCACCGTTGAGAGAGACTTTCTTCTTCTCTGAAGGGAGATCAAGCATGGACTATATAAGATGAACACAGGCTTAACCTTAAGCGGTCTTTTGGCGTTCATCTCAGATTCATGACCCCATCTCTGTTTATTGCCTTTTATAAAGCAGCAGCCACCGTGAGCACGTCGCTTGCGACCGTCACAGCGTAAAGTTGGAGCCTTATAGCCACTTTTTTCGAAACATTGACTCTGGACACTAAGCAAAACCGCTGGTAAAATAAAAGAACAATCTTCAAACAAAGATTCACTCCTATTATCATTAGGTTTGTAGTTTCGAGCCCCAGTGAAATCGCCTTCTGCATGGACATGCTGTTTTACATGAAGCGGCGGAGGACCAATGAATGTTTCTTTGGACCCATTCCTCATGATTTCAGCAAGAGAAAAATAAAGAGTAAATTCCTGAAATCCTTGTACTGGCATTTTCAAATTAGTGTGCACATCAACATTTGAATTAGGCTGCATAAAACATTTCATCCACAAATTCGGACCACATAGGTTGATCCAACAATCCAGTCGAGGGAAGTTTATCCAACAATCCTGGGTAACGAACGTCCCCTTCTGAGCTGTCGCTAAAAGAAGAGGCTTGGAGACGTCTTCTGATCTCAAGCGGCGTTCTAGTAGTGAGCTAGAAAATGAGTTTTGAACGCCATTGCGGGCAATGTTCCGCGGAGTTTGGGCCGGGATTTGTGTTGTTATGGAGCTTTGCTTCGTTGGCCGCGCAACGGACGGAGGAAAAAGCTCAAGCACACCACGACTGGAAGGCCTCGGAACTCTAGTCAATTTTTTGGTGCCCGTCCGAAGTTTTCCACTGAATTTTGCTCTTTTAAATTTTCCAGTAAATAATTCAAATTCTTTTGTAAAATTCTGTCTTTTTCTGTTTAATAAAAAATTGCATATTGAAATATTGAACAACTCGCTCCTATGGACGTTATTATTTATAAACTGCAGTGCTTTTTTACATCCAAGTCGGCAAAATACATCACTTATGGCCGGGACGCTGTTGAATAATTCAAATAATTCACAAATTTTTTCTTCTGAATTCGAGTGATGAGAATACAATGAGCTACGATCAGCGGGCGTAAGCACGACAGTCCTCAGTATATCGTACCTGTGAGTCTTGATAAGATTGTTCGCGCAATGGGAACATTCTCTGTTCATGGAGCGAATATTGTCCTTTCTTCTCTTCTTCCAAATTTTCCGCCAGAACTTTTCATTGTTAATTCTTCTATTTTTGCAAGATAACTGAAAAACCATTTCCGCAAGCATAGCGTGCGGAAATGAAAATAAATTACAAAGAGAGCATTTATCAACAAACCAAGCCAAGTGAAAAATTTCAGCAGGCGACTTTCCCACTATATTTTTCAATTTGATATAAATCAAGTTATTATTTATTTCATTAGGAGTTGTCGAGGCTTTTTCAACAAGGTATTCATTTATACTAGTAAACTCGTCGCTGAGACCAGAACGCTCTACAATGTTAAACACCACGTTGGTATTACAGTTTCTTCCTCTGTTAGACAAAAAAGTTCGAATATTTTTGCAAAAACACGCAAATAATTCAGTACAAAAGCTAAAACCACGAATATTGATGTAACAGTTGTTGGCAAGTAATTTACTTGACTGGGATGTTCCGCCGCCATGATCATGTCCAAATTTTATATTATTAAAGGAAGCTGCACTCTCTAATGACGTGTCCTTACGTACTATTTCGTGGCGACTTTCAAGAAGCTCCCTGGCTTCTCCACTTTCAAAGTAAGGCATTTTGGAAAATCTGTTAGAGACAGGAGCCTCATGTTCGGCAATAGGCAGGTTATCACGCTCTTTGGAGATCATTACGGCCGAATGACGGTCATTTGAGGATGTATTAGCGGAGGAAACCTTCGCAAGATGCTCTTCTGGCGAGGTGTTTGATCCCTTGCTTTTGTTGACAAGTATATCTTCCTTGTGAAAATTTTCTGCAGCCCTCAAAATCGCACTTGCTGTCAACGATCCCGATCTTTTAAACTCAACGATCGGCTGTCTAGAAAGTTGATCTGAAATGCCAATTAGGGAAGAAACTTACACGATATTTAGAATGGTGTAGAAACTAAATTAGATCCTCAGCAATCCAAAGTACTGAGCTTAATCTCAATCAGCGATAAAAATCAAGATATTTTTCAACTTTCTGATTAAATCCGGAAAAATACCGAGACAAAACGTAATATCCCCAAGAAAACAGAAACTTAGAAATTGTTGGGCAATCACATCTAACCGCTTATAAAACGAGACAGAGCTAATGGAGCCTCACTCCATTGATAAATTATTAGGACTCAGCAGTCATGTGTCAATACAAGTGTTAATAACAAACATGTTGAGCATTAGAAGCACGTTTCTTATAACACTAAATGAACGTTGTTGTATTCGAAACGTCGTTAAAAAGTTAAAATTACTTCATTAAACCTATCTTTCTAACACAATGTCATCTGAAGAATTGTTCGGCCCTGAAAGTTTAAATCAATGAATTCTCTGGACATTAATCACTATTGTTTAAACAAGCTAATTCAGTAATCTAATACTAATATCTTCATGCACACCTCAAAAACATTTGTCACAAACCATTAATAATTAACGCAAAAATAGCGCTGCCACAGAAGAAACAAAAAAAATGGTGTAGCAAATTTATCAATCAATTTGGACAGGATAAACTCTAAACAAGTAAAAAATTACAGACATTGCGAGGCTAATATACCATTGCAGAAACTAAAAAATGATTTAGATGAATTCAGCATTAACCGGTGAGGTTAAAAAGGCAGGCTCACACGTGCAGGTCTTGTGTGAACGAAAAAAACGAAAGAGTTCTGTGGGGCACTCATTGTACACTCCTTTCGACGTCAGAAGAGTTCTGTGAGGCACTTATTGTACACTTCATTAAAAACATCTCTGTTTATTGCCTTTTATAAAGCAGCAGCCACCGTGAGCACGTCGCTTGCGACCGTCACAGCGTAAAGTTGGAGCCTTATAGCCACTTTCTTCGAAACATTGACTCTGGACACCAAGCAAACCCGCTGGTAAAATAAAAGGACAATCTTCAAACAATAATTTACTCCTATTATCATTAGGTTTGTAATTTCGAGCTCTAGTAGAGTCACTTTCTGCATGGAAATGCTGTTTTTCAGGGAGCGGCAGAGGACCAATAAATGTTTCTTTGGACCCATTCCTCATGATTTCAGCAAGAGAAAAATAAAGAGTAAATTCCTGAAATCCTTGTACTGGCATTTTCAAATTAGTGTGCACATCAACATTTGAATTAGGCTGCATAAAACATTTCATCCACAAATTCGGACCACATAGGTTGATCCAACAATCCAGTCGAGGGAAGTTTATCCAACAATCCTGGGTAACGAACGTCCCCTTCTGAGCTGTCGCTAAAAGAAGAGGCTTGGAGACGTCTTCTGATCTCAAGCGGCGTTCTAGTAGTGAGCTAGAAAATGAGTTTTGAGCGCCATTGCGGGCAATGTTCCGCGGAGTTTGGGCCGGGATTTGTGTTGTTATGGAGCTTTGCTTCGTTGGCCGCGCAACGGACGGAGGAAAAAGCTCAAGCACACCACGACTGGAAGGCCTCGGAACTCTAGTCAATTTTTTGGTGCCCGTCCGAAGTTTTCCACTGAATTTTGCTCTTTTAAATTTTCCAGTAAATAATTCAAATTCTTTTGTAAAATTCTGCCTTTTTCCGTCTAATAAAAAATTGCATATTGAAATATTGAACAACTCGCTCCTATGGACGTTATTATTTATAAACTGCAGTGCTTTTTTACATCCAAGTCGGCAAAATACATCACTCATGGCCGGGACGTTGTTGAATAATTCAAATAATTCACAAATTTTTTCTTCTGAATTCGAGTGACGAGAATACAATGAGCTACGATCAGCGGGCGTAAGCACGACAGTCCTCAGTATATCGTACCTGTGAGTCTTGATAAGATTGTTCGCGCAATGGGAACATTCTCTGTTCATGGAGCGAATATTGTCCTTTCTTCTCTTCTTCCAAATTTTCCGCCAGAACTTTTCATTGTTCATTCTTCTATTTTTGCAAGATAACTGAAAAACCATTTCCGCAAGCATAGCGTGCGGAA